GGGAGAGGCCTGGAGAGGGGCGGGGGAAGAGGGAGCGGGGGCACCAGGGCCGGAACTGCAGACGGTGGTGGAGAGAGTTATTTTATTAGTTTATTCTGTATTATTTCACTGTTTTATGTTACAGTTTTGTTTTACTGTTTTTACTCTTTTTGTTTTATTCTATTTATTTTCTTTTATTCTATTTTATTGATTTTGTTTATTTTATTTAACTTCTTTTAATCCATTTATTTTCATTCATTCTCATGTATTATTTTTCATTTATTCTACTTAATTTTATCCCACTTTGCCTTTTATTCCACTTTCTTTGTCTTTTATCCCACTTTATTCCCTATTTTTATGTTTCTTTTGGACCTGCTGCCCTCCAATAACTTACTTTTCTCCTTTCCAGCCCAGCAGCACTCGAGGTGAGGTTGAGGAAGAGGAGCTGGAGGGAGTTTTGGCTCCCCTGGTCCTGCCCCAGGAGAGGTTGAAGCCAGGCAGGGCTGGGGTTGCTCGTGGCTGGATCCGGCTCCAATCCTGGCCAGAGGCTCAGGGTGGTTTGGTTTGACTCTAAAGCCCTTGATGGAGCAGGAGCAGCTGAAGGGTCCTGGATGTAGTTGGAGTTTAAAGTCATAAGAAGGAGAAGTGGAAGATGCAGCTGGGGGCTGGAAGGGAAATTTTCACAAACATCACTGCAGGGGACATCGAGTGCAGGTGGGGACCCTGGGAACCCAAAACCAAGTGGTGCTGAAGGCACAGCCATTCTCCCCCCCCCAGCTCCCTTGATTCCTGCCCTTGGAGTGGTTTTCCTCCCCTCCCACCATTTCGCTAACACAAGAGGGGATTGTGATGCTCAATGCCAGGTGCCCCCACAACCACCCCAAATCGGGGGCCTCAGGGCCCCAGCTCATCCCTTCCTGTGGTGGTCACAGCCCAGCCTGGGAGCATGCAGAAGCACCTGGTGGTAAAGGCTTCAGCATTTTGGGGGCTGCCCGCTGCTCTGGGGGCTGCTTGACCCCTTCCCTGCAGCCTGGACACAAAACTGCTGGAGCAGGAGCTCATGGACCAGTAAGGAACCGGCTGACAAGGTAGTGCCAGCCCAGGGTTTTCCCAGTGCAGAGCTGGCAGCTCCCGACTACACAGCCCCAGACACTTTCTGTCCTAAGAGATGATTTTCACAGGTTCTGGTCTTACTGGCAGCGACTGTGAGTATCAGCAAAACCAAACGCCTTGGTTCCTGCTGTGACATTACTGCACCTTAAACCTCATGTGAGTGCTTCTGTGTTTCTGTCACAAATTTTACCGGATGCCAGGCCAAGGGGAAGAAACAGAAGGGGCTGATTTCTGTCCTTCAGTCTCCAGCCATCTCAAACTCTCCGAGTTTTACAAGTGTTTAGATTTCAGTTGCAACTGCAACCCAAAAAAAGAAATAAATCAATGGAGGTTTAACTGAGGTTGTCTGAATTATTTTCTCCTGTAGTTTTTGTGTCAGTGACAGCTGTTGCCTGCAATGCTGCCTTCCACAGGAGCCCACCTGACCAGTTTGTTATTCCAAGTGTGCAGGAATCCAAGTTCTGGTCAGTTCAAAATCCAGATGAGGAACAGCGTCATTCCTCTCTCACCACCACCTCGTTTTCTCATGTCCCTCTTGCCTTCAAGCTGCTGCCAGAGCAGGTTTGTGATCAGTCCCCAGTACACACATGAGGGGCAGTGGGTGGCAGGACTCCCCTCACTGCTGCACTCCAGTCCCCAGGGGATAAAGCCCCACCACCCCACAACTTCTTACCTCCTACAGAGCCTCTGGAACAGATTCCTCTCACCCCAAACCAAAGCATTCAGAGCTGGGGCACAGCCATGACATGGTTTAAATACAAACTGGAAGGGTTTTAGCAAAGCAGTACTTACAAAGCCAAAAATTTAACTTTGTTTTGAAAGTTTATTGGATCATCTTGACACAAAATCATTACAGCAGCTTGTGGTATGTTTTCGTTTTCTTTTTTTTTTTTTTCTTCTTCTCGATTTAAGGGAATGTTGATAGCAAATAAATTTGTGAATGTAACACATCATACAGGTTCAAAATTCTAGAATCACTGCACAGGATTCTGTAAGAGAAGACTCTACATGCTAAAGTGACAGTTTTCATCCATGAATTAAAAAAAAACACTCATTGAGGAACATTATCCTTTAAGACAATTTTAATATGTTCAGTTTCTAACACACAAACTGGCTCACCAAGGGAGGTTGACCAATACCAAAAACTACCACTTCACCAGCAGTGAAGCCGGCTGCACACGAGTTCCTGCAGCGCACGAGTGCAGTCCCGATATGAAGCTGGTCCTAGCAATGAAACCACGGCAGAGCCTTTGCAAAAATACCTGAATAATGGGAAGAGTGTAAAGAGCACAAGACACTTAAAGTACAGGGCATCCACCCAAAGGGCGAGCTCAAGGCATCATCCCGTTCCCTGCGCAGGGTTTTAGTTCACTGCTGCTGCCCAGAGTGGTGGCAGTGCTGGAGAAGCGCAGACCAACCCAACCCAACCTCAACCCCAAGCCTCCCTGGGGACCCTTCTGGTACCAGAGGCCTCCAGCTCTTGACCCCGTGCCTCAAAGCAAAACCGTTCAGGCACATTCTCAGTTTGTTGGGTATGGAACAGTGAGAAATTGAGGGGGTGGGGAAATCAAAAGCAAGAGATTTTGGAGAAGGACAACAGTTAAGCATCTCTGTAAAGGACACAGTGACATCCCTTTCCCGTCAGTGATTCCACAAAATTTCAAGAGTGCAGGATGGGCTTCATGTTGTAGACTCTCCCTTTCCTCTAAAGTCACCTGCTACAGGCAGCAGTCTGCAGCTCCTCACCACCCCCCTCCTGCTACAGGGACCCAGTTACACATGCGCTGCTAAATCTGCATCCAGGGCTGCGAGGGCAGGGCCGTGGGAGCTACAGGGACAGGACAACTGAGACAGCACGACATCTCTGAGTTCACAGCACAGAGGGGAGAAACAGGGCTGGATCTGCAAACTGTTCAGAGCACAGGGATTACACATGTGGGCATTTCTCTAACCTGGTAGTGGTCAACCTCGGCTGGTGAGCAGAATGATAAGAAAGCAGGAACAGACCCCTTTGGATTTCCAGTTTCCTTTCAGGAATTCTAACTTGTCAGGAATGTGAAATTGAAGTGGACTCGTAAAACACATCAGCAGAGACTGCTCGAAGGGGAAAGGCAGGAGAGACTCCATTTGCGGGGGTGGTAAACGGGAGCAGAGAACCAAGCGGTAACACTTCAGCCTGTTTCATGCATTCACTCTCGACTCTTTCAGCTGTCACTAAAAGAAGGTTAAGGCTCAAGGCAACTACTATAAACAGAAACTCCAACATCCCAGTTCTCACAGGGCTCATTTGGATTAGCTCAAGGAGATGGAGGATGTTTATACGCTGATCACAATAGATCTTGAGATAATAATAATATTAAATCATATATTTTAAAATAAAAAAAAAAGAGGCCTTCAGGTCCAGCACCAGCCTCTGCTAGAAATATACATCAACTACAGCAGCCCTGAAGACATATTCCATGGCTACGGATCAAGTCAACCTTCCCTGGCAATAAGCACAAGCAACAGACTGTGCTACAGTTGATGAAGTTCTGCTTAGTCCACCATCCCACGCAGATGGCGAGGGTTACGGGATCATCATGAGCTGCTGAATAAATAGCGCCCTGCCCGCCCGCCTCCAGTCACGTCACCAGGATCTCTTTGGGCTAGAAAGGGTTAACACCACGGTTTGTAAAAAGTTTTGAAATAAAATGGTAACATACAGCCTTAAAATGTCTAAACTGCAAACAACGGTGGAGTTAACTGAAAAGCACGTGCCCCAGGATAGTACATGCGTACGAGGGAGAAACTTAACACTTGGGTCTGCTCGTCTTTACACATCAGGTGTGTTTCTTGTAGTTGGAATATTTTATAAGGAATATTCAGCACTTGGACAATGTCTCTTTCATCTCATCCAACAAGTTGCTAAGGAGGGTGGAATCATTACATTTCCCATCTATGGATACAGAGCTCTCTCCCTTGGAAAGAAAAAGAGAAAAAAAGAAATCCGTTAGCTCCTCTTCGAAGCAGGGACAATTTTATTCCCAGCCAAGCTCGGGGACCGGGAACAGCCGGTGGAGCCAGCACAGGAACAAAGCAGGCTTAGCCCAGGGGTCAGTCTGGGGAAGCCACCAGTGCTGCTGCCCACCAGACATGTGCTGGGCAACAGAAAGCCCATGGGGAGGCACAAGCTCAGTAGTGGCACAACAAAAGCTGTTAAAGGGCCAGATGAACTTAAACTGCCCATGATGCCCCTGGATGATACAGACAGGAGTATTTCCCTCTAACTGTTAAGATAGGAAAGGCTGCAGATTTAGCTTCTCTCAGATCTTGTTTCAGAGTGGTACAATGCTCTCACCTTTTTTACCAGTAGGCAGACATGATGGCCTTGGATAGAACGACTGTACATTGATGCACACGAGTCAACGCGTTCCACAACTATAACGCAAGCACGAAATTTCATTTAGTGAGTCAAATTTTTAATGTAAGATTTGCTTCCTGTGAAGAGGAACTACAGCTTTGTCTGGCCTCAAGGAACAGAAGCTTCTACTGAGTGAGGGGAGGAGGAAGTCAGGGTTAAGATGCTGTACGTGCCTGGCTCCTAGCTGGGCTATTTCACAATAATGATGTTAGTCATTTGTCTTTTAAGTAAGCTGCAGATGTTTTGCGGCAAAAATGCTGATCAGAACGGAGATCTCTTCCCCAGAAATACTTTCAGTGAGGCAACGTCTAATGCATACAGCAGAGTATGATGAAACAGCCAGTTGTTTTGCTTCATCCAGTACTTGTGTTTTAATTAATAAGCCTTAACTTGAACAGCTCAGGCTCTCCCTTACTGAAACAAAACACTGGGGAAAGAGGAGGTTGAAGCACTGGAGATCAAACACATCCTCCAGAGAGCAGTTACAGCCCTAACTGTAAGCAAGCTGCTCCCCTGATCCCTGCCATGTGCCTCACTGGACTGGCAGAAAGCCATAGGGACAGGAGGAGATTCATTTTGAAGAACACTGCATGCTTTGAGGATACCAAAGTATTACAAAACTGGAAAAAACTCCTCTCCCAAATTTATTTAATCTGGGCATCACCCGCTTCTGTCATTGCTGAGGCCACGCAGTGCTGCAGTTGCCAAGTACAGCAGAAATTTCTGAATACGGAATTTTGCAGAAGGTTCTGCATCAAGGAGGACTCACCTGAAAAATGATGATGAAAACAGATCTTTGCCAGTAGATGTTGGAAAGAAATGCTAATTCCATTTACTTTAATAGAACTCATGTGCAGATCTCCAGACTCTAGGAGCTTGGCAAAAGCATCGCTGCAAAACAGGAAGGATAGTAAACATTCGTACTAGAAATTCAAGTGAAATCTGCCACATTGGCCCCATGCAGATCTCGAGACATCTCCAGATGCAGAAGTCTAAGTACTACCAAGCTCTAGGAAAATGGTTTACAGCAAATATGGGAACCATACTCCAGATTCCCCTGGAGTACACCATGACCACAGCTACTTCCACACGACCTCTGCCAGCCTACAGGGCATACAGCTCCTTCTTCAGGATCACTTGAAACACGTTGCTGGACGTATTTTAACAGTCAAACATTACACAAGACCAAAAGCAGTCACAAGCAGCTGGAGTCAAAAGCATGCTGTGTATCTCACAGGGATGGTCTGCAGCCAAAGCTCAGCTTTGCATGAGCAGCAAAAGCACCAATGTCGTGCTCCCTAAATGGCACTTACCTATAGCAAGGCGTCGTGATCAAGTATGAAGCGCAACTGAAGTGCAATTTGAAATCTAGTTTTTCATGGGTTGAACCTTCATCATTCTGCAACAGGTCAAAGGAAAGGAGATGAATGGGAGCCCCGAGGCAGCAAGAGGAGGCACCACCCCCACCTACCAATCAGGCACTGACGAAGACTTCAGGGCTCAATTCCCCTTGATATACCCTGGCTGGGCCTCAGTGATCAGTATGAGATCACGGGCACATCAGGGCACTTCAGAGACAAGATCTGGCCAGCTAGGTTTATACATACACCTATGGCAGGTAAGGGACACACCCGGAGGAATCAGGCTGCATTTTCAATTGCACTCTGCTGAAATGTATTGAGCAGACTGAATTTAAACTAACACTTGCAGATGTGGTTTTACAGTTCACTATTTCCCAAGCAAAAAAATAAATTAATATATCCCAGATTCTTAGATACTGAAAATAGAACTAGTATACTATTTTTAAGAAACTCTTAAAATAGAGATAATGGCTGACTCAGAAGTAGCCACAATTCTCCATTCTCCATCTGCTTCCTTCGAGCTGTTCAACGCAGCTTCTTCATTAATAATTTTACTGAAATAAGATTAAAAACCCACGTAGTCTTATACGGGACAATACTTACTAAACAATGCCTTCAGAAGTTTCCATCCTTATTAACTCTATCTAATACTTATTACTATTTTTTCCAACATTGTACCAGGCAGCAGTGTCCAACTGATCTTTGGGCAATTGGGATCAGAAGAAACAGACTCTGGGTTGCATCCCTCGCTGGTTGGTTGCCCTCCTCTCCTCAGCAGATGCAGCACTGCAGTGATTTTCTAGCTGACAATGTGGCATATGTTTCAGGCTGCATTGTTCACACGCTGCCAGGAATGACAATTTAGGACATGCTTCCACAGTATTCGGGACACTCTTTGCACAAGATGTCATGTAAAAATACTTCTCACGTCACAGAATGGGTTGGTGCAGCAGAGATGAAATGATGCCTAAGAAAAGCTCTAAAGCAGTGCTTTCCACCCAAGTCAAGCTCCCTTATGCAGTTCCAAAGGAAGCAGAAGCACAGAATTTAAAGCTGCACTTACTTTGACTATAAAGGACAGTGTTCCTTTTAACTTCTGAGCCATAACAATACTCTGAAGTGTAAACACAAACTGGGCTTCATTAGAGATTCCTAGCATGAAGAGAGGAGAGGGAGAAATCAGGTCAGAAAATAGTGTCCATATCTAAGTACTGGTTAGAATGAACTGAGCAGCAGCAGCTAAGCTTTATGTAGTGACTATTTTTGAACCAAGTTTTCTGTGTAATTGGAAGGGAGTTACATGTACAGTTCCTGTGTGTGTATGTGTGTTACAGCACTTAGTTGTTAAGTCTCTGAAAAGCAGCAGTGACAGCTGGCATCTGGTAGAGGTTATGGAGTGAGTGCCTGGGCAGAGTACGTCACAGTGGCGACACATTTGAACAGGCTGTATAACTGGAAAATACACAGCTTTCAAAGCAGTTTTCAGAACTAATTTGAAGTCTGAGGTTTCTCTCTTTTAATATACAAGTCTGTGTCAAGAACTGTCTTATATAAAATTAAAAAAATACCCCACTGCTTTCTATAAGGGATCAAAATGCATCCTGAAGACACTAAATCCCAAAGACTTCTGTGAGCTGTTTCAGTACTCAAATTAACTCTTTGGCAAAGGAATTGAAATTCAAAGTCGTCCAGCAATTTGATTGTACTACTGTGTTATGTAGGAAGCCATTATCCTTCACCACCACGTCTAATATTTCTTAAGGGCTCAGCTCCCCATCCAAATAGGCACATCCTTGTTGCAAACTTCCACTGCATATGACCTCTGCTACTAAAACAGTAGGACAACAGCCTGAGAATAAATTCAGAGTGGATTCTAACAGTTCACAAACCTATGGCTTTGCTTCATTTTAAATCTTATGGCAAACTTCTCACGAATTTGGGATTCCTATTGCTGACGATGCTGGCACGTTCAAAGGTGCGCCAGCCTGCAGTCACCTGAAAAAGGAACTCACGACATCGGACTCCCAGTCCTATATTATAGGCTTTGCTCTTGCTGTACAGAACTACCTGCATTTATAGCCACACTGCAAGAAGGCTTATCCTCTCCAGTGAATTGTGTGAAAGCCCAGTGAACACCCAGGCAGAGGGCTAAGTCTTTCTGGAAAACAGCAAGAAGTTCAAACAATTCTTTCCACAGGAGGGCAGTGCAGGACTAGACAAACTCCAAGACCCGGGTGCAAAGCTGCGCATACCAGGGGGTAGCTGGAAGGGCACAGGTATCCCATCATGTACTGATGATCCTTCTGGTCGGAGCATTTTAGTGTTGAGAGAGTCCAGGACATTTAGTTCCATGCTCTTAAGGAAGCTAGTGCTTTTGTTTTCAAAGATAACAGAGACAGTAACTTGACTATCATTCTGGAGGTTTCCTTGAATATCGTAGGTCTGCAAATGAAGAAAATAAAAAAAAACAGAGGAAAGATTAAAAAGCTTCAAACAGCAGAACACCAGAAAAGAACACAGCATCAGAATAAAGCAAGCTACAGAAACGCTGTAATTTGGTACAGCTATAGGATAATGAAAAACACACCGGTGATCAGCTCCACAGTACTGCTAAGTAGTGGGGAAACATCAACTTAAAAACTTGTTAAGTGGGACATCCAAAGGAATGGAAATGGAGCTTTGTTACGTTTCTACCTCCTGGGATTTAAACAGTTCAGGTAAATGTTGTCTACATAAAGTCACTATATTATTCCTAGGCTCTCCCCTCTTTTCTTAGAGAACACAAAAAGAGAAGACATCTAGATTTGAATGCCAAAAAACTCACCATTTTAATGTATGGATTTTCAGCAAGAAGGCGGTAACTGGACATAGGCTGAAAAACAAGAAACAAATCGCAGTTGCAATGTAACAAATTTCTCTGAAAAGAGCTATCATTTTCCTTCCTCCCAAAACAGCTTGGCTCCTGCCTTTTCCCCAAGAAAAGTGCTGCTGGTGCACAGCTACTCACCGGTAGTGGTTCATCATCTAGTGTTCCATTCTGCACTGACTCTGTTGCCTCCTCCTCGCTGTGATGACTCTTCTTTTTGGATTTCTTTTTCTCCTTTGATTTCTCTTCTTTCTCTTTCTTGTGCTTTTTCTTCTTATGCTTGGAGGATTTCTACCAAGAACAAGAACAAACTATAAAAAACTCTTAAAAGAAACCCTGTATTTCTAGACAGTACATCATGACCCCTCTACCAACCTTTCAACCCTAGACTCTCACTCCGTGCAGCCTCCTGGATGACTGAACAAAGTTTCCTACTACTGCAGAAACCCAAACCAGAGCCTTCGTTCCTTAAACCTCAACTGCCTTTGTGTTGAGTCCCAGTAAACCCTTGCTCCCCACTCTGATAATGCCTTAAGCCAAAGCAGCCTGGGATCAGCAGAAGGCCAAATCTCTTCAACTGCTTGGAAGCTCAGCTTTAAAACTACTGCCTGACCCTTGGCTCAAGAAACAACCAAACCTCTTACTATGAAGTGTTTAGAGCTCCTCAAGGACGTAACATTCCATGGCTGCCTATTTGCAGGTGGTTACTGCACTGCATAGGATGCTGTTGGTAATTCCTGTGTGCATTTTTTTGGAGACACGAGGAGAATATGGCTAAGGATGCCTGCAACTTAAACCACTCACCTTGCCTTCATCATCATCCTCCTCATCTTGCTCTTCCCTTTCTTCCTTTTTAACCTCTTGAGGTTCAGCCAGAACAGCAGCACCCACTTCAGGCTCACTCTGAGTAGATTAGCAGAAGCATTATGACACTAAGAGAAGGCAGCTGAAACAACTGAATCCCACACCAGAAGTAATCTTAACAATGACACTTTCCCCTGCACTGTCATTTCAAAAACTACATTAGACAAACATGGTATCAAGCTTTTAATTTTATGCCTCTGAAATCCAACAAATATGATCACCTGAGGACAAGATACGAAAAAATTCCTGCAAGGAATCCGTCCCTTTCTATTCTCTGTCTCTTCCTTTAAAATCTCCCATCAAAATTTGTGGGAGTTTCTTGCAGACTGTGTCTCATGTCTATTAATACTGCTAGCATCTAGCTCACACTAGCAAATAAAACCATACACTAATAATATTAAAATCCACCAATAATACTAAACTATACCAAGCCTGTAGCTGCACCTGTATTTCTATCCACTGATCTACACAGAAGAATGAGCTTGAGACCTCCCATTACAGTGTCTGTAAACTGGGGAGATGAAATGTCATTGCTTCACAGCAGTGAGTTGAGGAGAAGAAGCCTATCTTTCCCTTCTCCCCTGCAGCATGACAAAGCACTAGTATCACAGGCTAAGCTGCAACCATAAGAACACGTTTCCTGCGATGTGGTAAGATGTTTACCTGTGGCTGGGTAGTGGAAGCAGACGGTGGAGCACTAGAGAGCCAGAAATCCAAGTCTTCCCCCTGAATTTCAAGAGAAAACAAACTTTAAAAAAATTCCCCAATTTAATTAAACATTTTAGTTTTCATGGAAATGCATTGTTCTACAATGCTGCAATACATTTTGGAGCAAACAGCTGAAGAAGCTTATTTGAGCACACTTCCAAACCTGGACATCATCATCAAATTACCCTACGTACCACAGTACCTACAGGCACTCAAAGCACGCTGGCTGCATCCGAGAGGAAACCTGCATCTCTGCAGGGTAGTTAACAAGGAAGAAACGTCAATTGCTCTGGAGACTTGACAACTTATGTCAGGTTTTATAATGGAAAGATTCTGATTTACATGGGGGACAGGATGTAGAACAAAAGTGAGCTGCAGACATTTTGCAAGTTTCCCATTTTACGAACAAAGTATCAATAAACTCGAATCCCAAATAGGATTTGAAAGATCTGCTGTGTAGATTGGCAATAAGCTGAATTCTGCTAACTTATAAGGCTAAACAAATACTAGGGTTTTCTATTAACAGAAATTTTAAAGTACCTGCTCTTATGGTTGTAAAAAATTAAGGAATTAAAGGTTGAAAATATCCAGCTGTTAGAATTGTCAAATGTGACTGTTCCTAAGCAACAAACACCACACAGCAATAAATATGGCCCATAACAGCAGTGTCTAAAACAATGCAGATATTGGGAAATTACCTTTTTTTCTTCTTCCTCCTCTACTACCTTTTTCTCTTTCTCTTTCTTCTTTCCTTTGTCTCTCTCTTTTTCTTTGTGTTTCTTTTCCTTCTTTTTGGGTTTCTTGATTTTCTTCTCTTCTAGAGGAGCTTCTGCATCTGGTGACTTCAAGGTCTCAACATTTCGGTGTCTCTGCACTGGCAGCTTCTCACTGTCTGCTAAGGGTCTTAAAAATAAAGAGATCATGACCCTTCTGCAAAGAGACTCCCTTAGCTCAGATTATCTGCTGCCCGTCCAAGACAAGGTATGCTTTGTTTTTAAAAGGTTGGGCCCCAAGATCTTCATACTTCTGTACTTGTAGTTCATTTACGTATCTGCACACACTGCCCTCATGAATTAGAAGTTAATAGAAACAATTTGAACGTGACTGAGAGCCAAACTCCTGCTGATACCAGATCACTCTTAAAAGTGGCAACAACAGACTTGCAGGCTGAGTAACACCGACAGAAGAAGAAACGCGCATAGTGTTCTGCTGCATTTCTGTGAAACCACTCTCAAAGGAAGAGCAAAGATGTGAAACCGTAGGAAGCATTTTTAACAGTGGAAACTCAAGCAGTGGAATGGCAGCATGGCTCAAACAGCCCTTGAAGGGCATGGTTTTGGTTGTTATTGATGAATAGATCACTCCAATTGGAAATTATTTTAAGCAAGAAATAGTTTAATTTTGGAAGTTTATGCCATGAATTGGCACTCTACCACTACATTTTAAAAGTTGTGATAATTTCAGAAACCTGTTCCCAGAAAGCATGAGTAGTAGTAATTCAGATTTGCACTGCATTCCAAATCTGTCACTTGGGGGAATAAACATCATCACAAAAATTTCTCCATTCTTGTCAAACACTGCTCAGAAATCAGTGAGAAATTCACCTATTGCCTCTTTTTCTATTTCTATAGCTTTTACTTAACATCACTTTCCAAGTTTCAGCAGCAAACACTGGTTCAGGAAGATTTCTAATGGTCTCACCTGCCTTATTTTTTTTTATCATTGCTTATATTGTCTGAAAAACCAGACCCAAACCATTTTTAACTTTGAAACAGACACTGTAAGGACAGGATGGACCCTGTCTGTTCAAACCGCAAACAGATCTCATCTTTAAGCTATGTCACATGTATCTGTACAGGAACAGGGACTGGTGCTGAAAGTTAAGGATGAAACAGACTCTCACAAATTTGAGGGTCAATGATTTCAACAGCCTCACCACCCTTCAAAAGTATTTACGCTGTCCACTGAAATCAACCAACCTGACAAAGACGATCAACCACTTTGCAATATATTCTTACCTGGAAGGCTTCCCTGAAACCAGACTGCGTGTGAGCGTGACACAGACATAGCAGTGCAAGCACAGAGAGAAAGAGAGAGGACACAGACATGAGAAAACGTGACAGGAGAGCACAGCGACTCATACAAAACGGGAAGAGAACGGATGGAAACAATACAAAAGACCAAAGATGCCTCCTGGAGCACAGTATTCAGAAACTGCTCTGCTCAGTGTTTCCTATGCTATTGAAGTCTATAGTCAGAAATTAATACAACCAACTCATGAAAAAAGGAAGTTTTTCAGAAACTGTTCTTTCGCTTTTTAAAAATGCTACATCACTTTTTTGGAAGGTAGCGAGGGGCAAAACCCCTACAGCTTTGAGAATTGTAGAGAATGGCACAGACTTAAAGGTAAGTATCAGAGGGAGAGATACCACACATGCATGCACGTGCCTGCACAGCCTTCAAAACTTTACAGGAAGCATCTATGGACCACAAATCAGCAATTATTTTTAGCATGGCTATTTTGTAAAACAGCAACTGAAAAATCAATCTCCACATGCAATACTTAACAGCCCACTGCTAATTATTATGTGGCATGCAGGGGTTCAGGGTGTGCTGCGCTGCAGCCTGGGGTGCTAGCACTGCCAACAGCTCCAGTAGGTGGATGGGGACCAGACTCTGGTCTAAGTTATGACATGGAGTTCACTCAATCATGTTTAGAACAACATTTTTCAACAGGGGCACCACTGGGCCATGGGGAAGCTATTACAGGTGAAATTACTGCAACGTGGAGCATACAGGCTTGCCATGTGTACAGGGGTGGAGATGAACACAGACAAATGCAGGTCACACTCAGTACCAACACAGGCTAGATCAGAAATACTGGTACACCTGAAAGCTCAGACTAACGACCTCACATCTGATCCCAGCTATGCTGTCTGTGCTTTCAGACTCCATTCGGTCACACAAAGTGATTCCCTTGCCCCTCCCAAAATCCCTGCTTAGCTTTGAGCATCTATGCTGCTGGGAACCCAAGTGGAACCCAAGCTTGGACGATCACCTAAGCTTACATCCGAGACATGGCGAGAGTGGACTGTAAACTGTGTCTTTGCCTGTTCAGTCCCAGAGCCGCCCTCATGCATTCTGGTAAGCAATTAAGTAAATTCACATACAAAACTGTCACTTACTTATCCAGATCTATATCAAGTGCCTTATATGGATCATTTGGATCTTTGTCATCTTCATCGCTTGGCAAAGCATTCTGAAAGAGAGTTAAAGAGACCGTCCACTGAGGAAACGAACCACGGGCAGTTTCAAAACTAAAGCTCAATATCCCCCAAACCAGATTTTTAGTATCATTAACTCTGGAACAGGCCAGTTTGTAGTCAGACACGGCATAGGAACAGTGCACTTTAATGCAGCATTGAGTTACAAGATTAATTTAGAACATGAAACCATTCTTCATAAACTGCAAGATTTGAATTGCTGCTGTTCGGTTTTGATTAAAGGAAATTTTAGGAACAAACACAGATTACATCATTAGCATGCACAATTAATTATAATCAGCTGCAAACCTGCTGACTAGACAGCAAGTTAATGTCAAAGTGAAGCAGCAGAGCATAAGAAATGAAGTGACTATTTGACAGTGTTACTTTTACAGTAGCGATGCGTATCGTTTGTTTAGGTTTTTTAATAGCTTCAGTGGCAATTTTTGTCTTTTTGTGCATAAAAAGACAATCGTTTCTCCCCTTGCAAAGCACAGCCTGGGACCATCTCAATAATCAGTCATTTCCTAAACAGCTTTGCAAGAAATCAGAGCTCTTCACCTGCAACAATACAGTCTGGCTGGCAATTCTTGCAGAAAGAGGTCTCCAGAAGACCACAGAGACAAACCCCACAACTCAGATCACCAACCCCAGCAACTGACCTCTGGCATCTCTTCTGTTATGATATCAACATGGTGAGCTGGAGCAATATCCTCCTCACTCTCCGTGTGCAGAGAGTTATGGCGATGATGTTTACCTCTCTTCTCCTTTTTCTGTTTTTTCTTTTTCTTGTCTTTCTCCAGTTTCTGTTTATGTCTTCGCTCTTCTTCCAATTTCACGTACT